CTTGAGTGGGTTTGTGGGTTGTTTGAGAAGATGGTGTGAAGATTTCCAAGCCTAAACACTTGAATGGTTTGATGAACTTCCTTGGAGATATTATTATCCTAAATGTTTTTAATACATAACAATGTGTGTAAACATAATGAAACTAATGTATTTGTGTGAAAACACAAGATTAGTGAGATAAACTTACCAAAACTCTAGGAATAGCTTGATAATTTAAACCCCCTTGAATGGAAGAATGGTGAGGTTTGTGGAATGAATTCGTCTTTAATATAAGGTGGTAGAATGATAGGATGTTTACTTGGTAATCTGTTGGGTATTAGCTTCGTTATATGTTGAATATTAATTCTTATGGGAAACTGTTGAAACATCAAGTCTAGTAGTCAACTCCTTTATCTTTTTATCCCATCGAAATCACCTTTGGAAGTGTCAAAGGGGTATTTTCGGCCAAGCATGACCGCAATCACCTTGTTCCCTTGGTGATTTCGGTCCTACCCCTCCAACAAATGGGTTTTTGGTCTTATTATGGTCCATGGGAGTGTTTTCGGTTTTGGTATCACCTACTCAGGGTGTTTTCGGTCCTAGTGGTTTTGATTTAAGGATATTTCGGTCTTGATGCTTCGCGGGAGGGTGATTTCGGCCTTTGGTGGACCGAAATCCCATTCTTTGTGGGGTACTAGGCTTAAACAATAAAATAATGTTTTAGTTTTATGATTTAGGTTATCACCATTTGAATTGTCTTGCCATGCTATCACTTGTTTAATTTTAAAGGTTTATCACGAATATGATCTTCAAAGTATATATATTCCTATATATACACTTATCCAAACTATGCCCTCTTGGTTTTGAACCTTTATTATAACAAGGTCATGTTGTGAATCCACTTATACATAGTTATAATTCAGGCATTGCTTGGTCCAAAAATTTTCAATTGTCACAGATTTCTCCCAAACTATTAATCGAAGTGTTTTTGGAGCAGACGAACCCCAATTAAGTGAGAAAGGGGTGTAATAGCGACGTATGAATCCACGTTATTCGTTTTAATTGACCTCAATAGATGTAACCGGCTAAAACCTGTGTTTGCCGGTAATAATGGGTATTTGTGAACATATGAAACAAGTTTGTTGGGTAAATAAGTACAAATACCAAATATTGCTATATATGAACATACAAAATAGTTATTTACCTTAATAAGTCATTTTCCCTTATCCTACTAATTCTATCATTAGAATCATAAGTAATTGGACAGCCAATCCAAAACATTTTTGACGAAAAAATGAAATTTTATTCGACAGTCTTTTATTGGGTACTCATAAAAGCAAACGTAACATTGGGTAATAATGAAATAAATAATACTCAGGCTCTAATACATCTTAAGATAGTTGCTCCAGAAGTGTTCGGGATTAACTAGCACACATTATATCATCCACTACACTTTGCTATTAATCCAATATTGCTTCAAGAATTCTTCAACCTACCATTCACGAGTTTTAAATTAACAAAAAGAGGAAAGAATTGTCTGAAGAATAAAGATGTCTACTTTTAATTCTTGTTGTATCAGTGAAGTTGTTAGGATTATTATGTAACATAAAAAGGGGAATGAATGATGTCGCAATCTTCACAAACCTGTCTCCGTGATTCTCTTTTTGTGCATGTTCTTTAACATATGTCATGAGCACGCGGTGGATAGTAACCATAACTTGACTTCTGAATTATAGAAACATAAGTAAATTGGTATCCTCTCTCTATCAATGATATCTATTTATTGCATAAAAAACATAAAAAAATGAAAAAGGAGGTGCAGATAATACCTCCTCCTTCTGCTCACCATACTTATAAGCACATTTATAGGCTTTAATTCTCTTTGAATTAAGCTTTTCAAGTTCCCTATCCATGCTTCTGATGCTCTTTCTCACAAGTTCCAACTCTGCCTTGAGTCGGGTCACTTTAGTGGTACGTTCCTTTAGATCCCTCTTTATTTCGTCAATTTGGTTTATGTTAATCTATGTGTATAAAACATAGATGAAGTGAGTAGTAATATAATGAAAAACTGAACAAAAAATGTTCTAATTCAGTTGAGGAATTAAAACTATACTTTAATACGATGCTGCCTCATTTGTTCGTTATAGAGTCGTCTTCTCGATCCTCCAACGTCATATCTTCTCCAATTACTACGTGGGTCAGGTTCTGTTGGTGCAATATATGTTTCTATTGTTTCTCTGAGATTTCTTATTTCGTGAAAGAATTTTTCTTCTTCTCTCTGGTTATTGTTTCCATGTTGGATCATGTGTACAAGGCTCTCCATCTTCCAAAAGGAAGTAGAAAGAAACTATATGTCAAAATCAATATAACAACCAACGGAAGATAAGCAATTTATGTGTATAAATTATAATTTATCAGTATATACCACATCGTTAAGCTCTTGTGTACCATGGGTTGGCCTGTTACCCGATTTCATTGAAGTAAGAAGTTCTTCTTGAACCTGTTTCAGATATTCCATGTCTATCCTCTCTTTCTTTAGCCGTTTATGGCATCGTTTTCTATCAGTACCAATATAAACCTACAAAAAAATAAAAAAAAATAAAAATAAAAATTGGCCACGAATCCACAGAAACAGAAAACTTCTCTAAAAAAATTCCATTTCATTATGCTCAAGAATTTTTGGAAAGTCGAGAGGAAAAATGGTCTATTTAATCAACTCTTACAGGCGATTCAGGATTGTTTTCAGTCAAATGCAAGAAACCAGCTGTTCTTGGTATTGGTCTCATTGGTAAATCAGGCTTCACATCATCTACTGTAGCTCGTTCAAGGCACATGAGTGAACTTGATTTCCACTCTAACTCCATGTAAATCCACATTAATTCGTAGTTCATTTGATGTTCATCTTTCTGTAAGGAGAGACGTGTGAGTTGTTTTTCC